CTGACATAAACACACTGGTATGCAGCAGTTCTCTTGTACTCATGACCCACCATGAATGAGTCAAACTTCTTGTACCATTGTCTCGGCACTTGTTTGAGGCCGTAGAGACTCTTCTTCAATATGTAGACTAAGTTTTCTTTCCCTTTAACTTCAAAACCTTCTGGCTACTCCATGTAAATTTCTTCCTTTAGATCACCATGGAGAAATGCCATCTTCACATCCATCTGTTCAAGTTTCAAATTCAAATTGGCCGTTAGTCCCAAAACTACTCGAATGGATGTCATTTTTACAACTGACGAGAAGATTTCATCAAAATCAATACATTTCTTCTGCCCAAAACCTTTGATAACCAATCGAGCCTTATACTTGACTAGTTTTCTGCTGCCATCTTTCTTCAACTTGAACACCCATTTGTTCTGCAATGCTTTTCGACCCTAGGGAAGTTTCACCAAATCATAAGTCTGATTTTCTGCAAGGACTGCATCTCTTCTTGCATAGCTTGCTGCCAACTACTCTTCTTCTTATGATTTTGAGCTTCTTGAAAACTTTCTGGCTCCCTCTCATCAGTAAGCAAAATATACTCAGAAGTAGGATATTTTGACGACGGCTTAGACTCTCTTGTTGATCTTCATAACTATGGACTAACAGTCTCTGGTGGAGGGGGTTGTGGCTCCCCCTGCTCAATATCCTCTGCTTCTAGATCTTTTTCTTCTAGAAGTCCATCCTACAACTCTACATCATTGGCTGCATGCAGCGGTAGCTCTTCTTCATCAATGGCATGCTGTGATGGTGCAGGATTAGGAATAATTTCTGAAACATCATCAACTTTGGGTTTGGTTGGTTGCCCAAAGTCTTCTAAGGTCTGGCCCTTTTGAAATATCACATCTTGGCTTCGAATGACCTCTTTGTTTTTTGGATCCCACAATCTGTATCCAAATTCTTCATCTCCATAGCCAATAAAGTTGCATGGAGTAGCTTTATCATCCAGCTTCTGTCTGTGCTCCTTGGATACATGTGCAAATGCTTTACACCCAAACACTCTTAAGTGAGAGTAAGAAATCTTCATTCCAGACCATACTTCTTCTGGAATCTGAAAATTCAGTGGAACTGATGGCGATCTGTTGATCAAATAGCAAGCAACACGAACAGCTTCTCCCCAAAATGGCTTTGGCAACTTTGCTATTTTGAGCATACATCTGACCTTCTCCACAATGGTCCGGTTCATTCTTTCGGCTACACATTGTGTTGTGGGTTCCAGGAACAGTCTTCTTATGCCGAATGTCGCGAGTAGCACAATAGGCTTCAAACTCCTTTGACGTGTACTCGCCTCCATTGTCTATTCGGAGACACTTCAGCTTTTTTCCGGTCTCCCTTTCCACCATGGAATGTCTGAAAATGCTGGAACACCTCAGTTTTGGTCTTTAGGACATAAACCCATACCTTCCGTGATGCATCATCAATAAACGTCTGGAAGTATTTTCTGCCACCCAAAGATTCCACTTCTATGGGATTGCAAACATCAGAGTATACTCTGCTTAACAACTCTGATTGTCTTCTAGATGATGAGTGAAAAGCGACTCTATGATGCTTTCCAAACAAGCAGTTGTCACAAGGATTCAATTTCGCATCTTTGGCAAAGGGAATAAGCAACTTCTTTGCCAGAATCTGCAACCCTTTTTCACTCACATGACCCAGCCTTTTATGCCACAAATTTGGTGACGTATCATCTTCTGCTGCGTTAAGGCTATCTGAATTCAACTCCACATGAGTCTTGTACAGCGTGCCAATTGCCTGTCCTCTGGCTACCACTAGAGATCCCTTTTTCAACTTCCATATGCCTTTGCTGAAGTAGTTCTCATAGCCTTGTCGATCTAAGGCTATCCCTGAGATAAGATTTAGGCGTAAATCGGGAACATGCTTGACATCTTTTAACACCATCGTGCACCCAACTTTGGTTTGGATGCAAACATCACCGATTTCCACAATCTTCGAAAAATTGGAGTTACCCATCTTCACTGTACCAAAATCTCCAGCCTGGTACGTACTGAAAAACTCCTTCCGGGATGTAGTGTGGTAGGAAGCTGCTGTATCTACTACTCACTCGGTGTCATTGTCGGACATATGGAGGCAATCTTCTTCTTCAACAGAGAATAATGCAATATCCTCTGAGACAGTAACAGCAATGTTCCCATCTTCAGTCTTTGGCTGTCTATTGCCTTGTTTTTGTTCTCCCTTCAAGGCATAGCAATATTTCTTTATGTGACCCTCCTGGCCACAATGGTAACACTTGAACCTTGGACGACTCGTACCTTCTCTGGACTTCCTTCTGTCTTAAAATCTTTCTCTGCTGCGTCCTCTGTTTTTGCTTCTTCCCTTACCTCTGCTTCTGTTTCTGTTTCTGCTTCTGCCTTTATTTTCTGTGATGAGGGCATGGACTGATCTCCACCCATGTCGTTCTTTCTTGCCTCTTCACTAAATAAAGCATCAGTGACCATGTTCATGGTCAGTCTTCCTTCAGGTGCAGAGTTGCTGAGGGACACCACCAATGTCTCCCAACTGTCTAGTAAAGAGCTGAGCAGCAATATGGCCTGCATCTCATCATCCAACTCCATTTTGACAGTTGCCAATTGGTTCACCAGATTTTGAAACTCACTGGTGTGTTCAGCAACAGAGATACTGCCATTCAGTTTCAAATTCACAAGTCTTCTCATCAAAAGGGCTTTGTTCCGAGCAGTCTTTGACTGGTACATGCCTTCTAACTTTGTCCAGAGAGCATAGACATCAGTCTCTTGGGCGACATGGTGGAAGACACTGTGATCGATCCATTGTTTGATCTGGCCAATGGTTTTTTGATTCTTCCGCTTCCAGTCTTCATCATTTTTCGTTGCTGGTTTGACTCCATGAAGCTCAATGGGGTCAAACAAATCACGGCAGTATAAGACATCTTCCATTCTAGGCTTCCAAATAGCATAGTTAGAAGCATTCAACTTGATCATGGATCCCAAAGTCGATGTTGATTCCTTCATCATATAGAAAGTGATCTCTATCTGAAAAATAAGTTTCGTAGTGGAGTCTGGACTAGTCATATTAGCCGAAAAAGCACTTCGGATTGCCAAAATAAAGACTGTAAATTTTTCAAAATCTGATTTGTAAAATCTGATTGTACGGATGTGTCTGGAATATTCGAAATAGTTGGAAAGCACTATTGGATCACCCAAATCAGACCTTAAATGGCTCAGATCAAGCCAAAACAAGTTGAACGGTTCAGATCGGTGAAATCTAGTGCGGCTGAGAAGCACCGGATAATTTCTCCAGTCCGGCTAGCATCAGCGGCTCAGTGGCTGACGGCAGGGCTTGGTCAGCGGCTTTGGTCAACGCGGCTTGGTCAGCGGCTCAGCTCGTTAATGGCTCCAATTAGCGGCTCTGGTGACGTCAGCGGATGACGTCAGGTCATCTGGTGCGCACGCGTGGGATCACGCGTCTTCTTCCTCTGGAAACACATGCGGTGCATGGACGCACGTGAGAACAGCGTCAGTGGCACGTGCAGAGTCGTCAGAGCTCCGTTTTTTACGTGGTTTTCACGGTTGTGCTCGTCTCGTCGGAAGCTTCAAGTTGATGTGATCAAAAGTGGATTTCGACCACTTTGATTTTTGGGCAATTTTTGAAAAAACGCTCTATTTTTTCCTAAACGCACAAAACCGGCTTTGATACCACTTTGTTAGGATCAAACACACCCAGAAAATTATCTCACACACACATAGAACACAATATTTACGTGGTTCGGCCCAATGTCTACGTCCACGAAGCAGAAAAGAGAATTTCACTAAAACAGAGCAAAATACAAATACAGAGGAGGAGATAAAAATTCTCACTCAACTCACAGCTCTCTCTCTATCTCTCTCTCTCTCTCTATTTTCTAATATCCTTCATCCTCTCCCTCCCATCTCTATTTATACACAAAGAGAGGGAGAGAGAGATACCAACCCACTAAACATTTCTACCCTCTTTAATGGTTAATGGTGAGTGTCAGCAATGCCAATAACGTGAAGGGAAGGGAGAAGCTTGTAGATATGCCTAGCTTAGACTTTCACTTCCAGTGGAGGTCTTCCTACGCCATCTTCTACATGCATGCATGGGGGTTGGAGCAACAATAGATTCCATCATTTCACCAAGAGCAAAACTAAGAACAAGGAACGAATGCTACTCTACTTCAAGGAAAGCTAAAAGAAGAAAGTGAGAGATAGATAATGAGGTGAATCTATTCCAAAAGAACATGGAAATAGGCATTTGGCAAAGCAAAGGCCTCAATACATGAAAGGAAACATCAGAGAAATAGATTCAACCCATAATTTGAGAAAACTTAAGCTAATAAGCAAGATAATAGAAGTTAGATAGTAGAAAATGGACTAAATCTACTCTCTCTACACATGAAAATGAGCATGAAATACCCAAGTCCATAGAATGATGGTTTTGAGAGAGTAGATTCAACTATCTTCCAAGAAAACTAAGCTACTAATCAAGAAAATGAAAGCTAAAGGAAAGAGAATGGAAAAAGCCTCAGAATCTACTAATGGAAATGATCATGAGATGCTCAAATCCACGTAATGATAGGTTGAAAAAGTAGACTCAACCATTTTCAAATGGAAAGCACATGTTGGGTTTCCAAAAAATGCAAGAAAGTGGTAAGAAAGTGAAGACAATGGAGCTAAAACCAATGTAAATAGGATTTGGCTAGAATCCTAACTATACAAGCCCAAGATACAACTAAAAGGAAAATAAATGCAACAATATAAAGTGTTTGATTACCGAGAAAAAGAAAGAATGTTCTAAGAAAATGAATATAATGCAACTCAAGCAATATATGGGGAAATTGGCCAGAATCCCCAATCTATTCAAGTCTAACAAGCTATATACTCCAAAGATCACAAGAAATAAAGAGTGTTTGGGAGAAGAGAAAAGAATAGAAAAAAGAAAGAAAATGCTCAAAGATAGAGATTTACTTCTTCGCTAAAGCTCCAAGCAAGTGGGAATCAAGTCCAAACAATAGATGAGTCTTTTCAAGCTTCCCTCAAGTCTCCAATGATGCTAAAAATTGTCCAAGTTTAGCTGTGGATGAAAAGAGATGGGAGTTGAGTATCTATTTTGACATAAATTGAGTTTTGTGTGTGTGTGTGTGTGTGAGAGAGAGAGAGAGAGAGAGAGAGAGAGAGGAATAACCCTTTTTCTGACACAAATGTGTGTATATATAGGCCAAGGAGGCCTTTGGAATATGCCATTTCACATGGATATCCAGAGTATATGCGAATGGAATCTTCCAAGATGGTTGAGAGACCATCTTCTAGAAACTATTCTATGCTGCATGACTTTTGCTGCCACATATAATTCCTATATGGGTGCAAAGAACAAAAAAGCTATGGCTAGCACAAAAACCTGTGACTCAGCTATTTCGAGAGTATTCTCTATCCTTTCATTCATTTCAGCTTTGTTCTCACTTGTTTTCTAGGAGAAACATGTTTTTAATTTTTTGAAAAGAGTGAAGTCTTGAAAACAATTTCGAAAATAATTTTTAAAGGTTTGAAAACATTTTGGCTAAAACAGGTTCAGGGTTGGGGAGTCTTTCTCCATCCAAAAGTTGTTCCAAGTGGATCAAAAACATTCATCTTTTTTTCATCATCGAGAAGCTTTGGAAGGCACCCATCTTAAGGCCGGTCAAAAATGGAATGTCTATACTCTTAAAATCAGATTAGCATTATTGTTTATGGTGGTCCACAGTGGTTACAGTCAAGCCAGAGGAGGATAAAAGAATAAGTGATGACTCGTGGGGTAGGGAGGTTGAGTTAGTATTAAGTGAGTTATGGACATGTGGCGGTACAAGAATGACAAAGTTTTTTTAATGAACACGTGGTGGCTCAAGAATATCGGGATACAAAATTGGTACAGAGTGTTGGGCAGAGGATCTGAAGTCACTAATTTAACCCTAGTAAAAGATAGACAGGATAGAGCAATTGATTCTATTCTTTCAATGTCATTGGAAATCTAAGTAAAAAAAGGAAAATCAAATCCTAGGGTAATTACTTGCTAATCACGCCAAAATAAAATAAATTACCAAAAATGAAAATATTTGAGTTAGGCTCAAATTGGGATACTGTAATGAAAAAGAACATACTAGACAAACTTAGGCAAAATTGGATTCATCTAGATCAAGTCAAAGATAAATAAAATATTTTCTAAAATGACAAAATCACAAAATTGATGGCCTAAATGTTGGAATTCACTCAAAATCCATCATAGGCCATGACAAAGTGATGGGTTTTGATCGTTATGATATTTTTGATGTCTCGACTAAATTTCATGCCATTTAGAGCACGTGATGTCTTGCGTTTACTGGTCTTTTTGCCATTGCCTTACTTACCCATAAGTTTCAGAAATTCTATGACCAAATACCATGCATCAGTTTTGAATTTGTCAAAATTGTAAGTAGATTAAAGGAGTTGCTCTCCCCCCCCAATTCACTATTTTGGATTTGATGAAAAACTTTCATTAATATTGCTAATTTGTTTAAATTTAACTTTTATGATTACAAACTTCATATTGAATTCTTGAGTTATTCAAGCCCTAAAATTGGATTATTTAATTTATATTATACAATTGATTTTCTTAAAGGTCTTGTGTTTATTCGCTTAAAAAAATCAGGGCTCATCTATTTGTGTTTTTGATTCCTATATGAGAGTAATGCTTTTTATCCTATTACATTATAAAAACATTTTATTGCATTTGGTGTTATGTTTTTTTCATTGCATTTGGAGCTCTGTTTTTGATGTTTTTTATTCATGTTGTTGACCCAGGTAAAAATAAATAAATTGCACTCCGTTATTTTTGCCCACCGTAAGACAAAACGGTGTCGTTTCTATAGGTGCACAACAGCTACAGTACGTGGACTCTTCCAATCTATTAGATCAACTCCTCTTCACATGTCTTCATCTTATGCAAAGTGTAGGGCACTGAGGGATCAATTGCTGGAAAGGATCTATTTAGGAAGCATGGATATGGATACCATAAAATTAAAAAAAAAAAAAAATAGAATACGCATACGGTTAGGATATATTTGTAAAAAAAAAATATTTTTTAAATTAGTAGTAGCAAGTTACACATAAACTAAAGAATGTTGAGGAATTACACTATAATTTTATAATGCAAAATATTAATCTTTAAGAATTAGGTATTATAAATTCACTATTTCCTTTTTATTAAAGAACTAAATACAATATTAGAAAATATTCTTGTATTTATTCTTACAATTATATCATATATTAATGGTATGCAATAAATGTTACTCTTCTAATTTCGTAAAAGAAGTAATACATGACTTGGAGTATTCGATATTTCAAAATTAAGTATTTGATACTCCAAAAATATTGAAAAATTAATTGAAAAATATCCGATACTTGAATAAGTTTCTAATACATATCTGTAAGTATCTAAAGTATTGATATTCAATATAAATACAATACAAATACGTCACTTTTTTGAAATATCCATACTTCATAAGGATCAAAACCCAAAAAGAGTGTGTGAGAAAAAGAAAAGGGGGAGGTTATTTGGTTTGGCTGATAAAAAATGTCAGTTTGTATTAAATATTGTGGTAGGATAAAAATGATTCATGGCATTATCACCACTCATTTTACTGTGGGAATTTGGCAAATAATTGTTAACATGACTCAAATCGTATACATAATTAGAGAGTTAGGATAAGTTTTTTTTTTTACTTGAATCCGAATATGACATGATCTGAAAATACGAATATTAAATGTGTTGTGTTTGGATTGAACGCATGAAATCCAAAATGGACACGTCTGACCCACATAAAATTCGTGTCGACACATTAACATGAATCCACTATTGGCTCGTATGTAACCCAAATACAACATGAATTTAGTAACCATAAGATCTAAAGTAATGCATTCTCATCCGTTAAATTAAAACTTAAATCTCTATATATAAAATATGCCTAATGAAGTGTAACACCAAATTAATAATAAATCAACTGTCGGTAGTAATTTGATAAATTGTTCCCCTCTCTCAAAATCTTAAAGAACTCTTAAATCTAGCAAAAACCATAATATTTTTTTTATTTTATTATTATTATTCTTCTTAGTATACAAGTTACAACTAGCAATGGTGAATTAACATAATTGACAATTATAATATATTTTGTTAGTTTATTAATATTTTTTTGTGTTACAATTTTAATTCACTTTGTTTGATTTAGTTAATTTATTAATATTTTTTGTGTTATAGTTATTAGTTTGGTTGGATGAAAACTTATTTTGCTTTTAAAATTATATTGGATATTTAAATATTAATTATGAGTGATAATAATTTAGGTTGGATATGTAATGGATTAGTGATGAATATTTTTAATTATTTTCATAGATATTGGCAGATATATTATCATTGTGTGTCAATGTTTAAATAAGTTATTCTGTTGCGAGTGATGTGAAATGTATTATTATTATTAATTTTTTTAAATAGACGGTTCAATTTCCTTAGAATCTGAAACACGAATTTTTACTAATTGTATTAAACATGTCGTGTTAGGGTTAATATAATTATAAGTAGGTCAGGTCAGTGTCAAGATAATTGACACGTTTAATTAAATAGGTCGTGTTAGTGTTGGATTGTTTTAAACACAAATCCAATATGACACGACATAAAAACGACACCACATGACATGATTCCCATCCCGTCCTTTCTTTTAAGTTTCAAGGTTGATTTGTTGGGTGCAGTGTTGGTATCCTTGTCAATACAAAAATAATAATAATAATAATAATTTTAAAAAAAATTTGTTCTGATAAAAATAATAAAAAATAATAATAAGAAAACATATTTAATGAGTTATTGAATGCTGGGCATTGTAGGAAGGGAGGAGAGGGGATGCCAACAATTTTTTTTCGAAACAAATGAAACGTTTTTTTTCTTTCCACAAATTTTAAAAATTATTTCAATTTTTAGAAACAAAAACAAATACGAAATGCATTTTATTTCTCAAAATAGAAAATGAAAACACAACTAGACAAGAATGTTTTCATTGCCAAAAACAATAGCGATGATATTCAAAATTTTGAGGGAAAAGAAAAAAATGGTTTTTGTTTTGGTTGGCTCCTCACCAACTTTTGATTTAGTGCTAGCAAATGATTGAGTTTGTTTTTCGGTGTGAATCTAATTGGAATTTGTACGGGGAGGAAATAATTCTCCTCGTATAATCCTGTTGACCAAGTTCACGCTCCTCCGAACGACGTCGCTTTGTCACCTGAAAACACAAACGTGAGCTAGCCGGCGGGTGTGTGCCGGAAACCTCTCCGATGCCTAAGTCAGAAAACTTGACAAATAGACAAAGCTCTAAGTTCTCAGAAAGATTGTGTTCAATTACCTCCTCCAAGGTGATGCTTGTGAGCTTTTATAAGTTTCATATGGCACAATCCTAGTAGGACTTGTATTTCTCCATACAGAGTCCTCCTAGGATTCAATCTCTTAAGGATAATGCTTATCCTTTTACACCCTCCCCCACTGCTTAAACCAAGTGGGATGGTTTTCTTTACGGCCGAACTTCTTTTTGGCCGAAATAAACCTTGGCTACACCGAGCCACAGAGGGCCGAACTATCCTTAGCTCGGTCCTCTCCTCCAACTCTTTACTTCGGCTGCCCTGTTCAATCTTGATGCGCTTAGATCAAACTTCCAAGTAACAAGTTCTGACCGACCTAACCATTGTAAGTCACGACCGGACTAACTCTGAGATCGGCCTAACTATGAATTGCCTCCAGACCGGAGTAGTTTTACATCCATGAGCCGAAGTAACATTTACTTCTCCCAACCGGAGTAACATTGCTCTCTGGGCCGGAGTATCCTTTACGGCTTTTTTACTTAGTCCTTCGCGTTTTGGGCCTCAAAGCCCAACTTGCAGCTCGGCCCAATTTTTCCCAAAAATTACCCTCTCAGAATTGATTAGTTTTGTTTTGAGACAAGAATGTTTTCATTGCCAAAAACAATAGCGATGATATTCAAAATTTTGAGGGAAAAGAAAAAAATGGTTTTTGTTTTGGTTGGCTCCTCACCAACTTTTGATTTAGTGCTAGCAAATGATTGAGTTTGTTTTTCGGTGTGAATCTAATTGGAA